TGCGTTGTTTTGAACGAATTTTGTATGTCAATTTTTAAAAAACAACACTAATTAATTAGTTTTATATTTTTTGTGCTTTTAAATGTTGTTAATAAATAGACCGTAATATTAACACAAGCCCTAATTGTTATATCTTGATCAGGGTTACTTTTCAAAAGCTTTATCTCAAGTTTACTGCAGTTATCTTTTTTTTCTGAGTGCACCTTCGTTATCCCTCTCTCCTCAGCTGATGGGGGCACTGCCAGGGCAAAGGACATTTCCAATTTATTTACGCTCAGAGGCACTTTGTCTGCTCCGCTCTTCTTGGCCAAACTCCTCTGCGCTCCTTGCTCGGACTGCTCCTCTTTCACTACTTTCTCCCGGCCCTTTCCCGCTGCATATGACAGTATTTGTGTAGCTTGTCAGAGGGAAAACAGATGGGGGAATGGGAGGGATCAGAGGTCGAATCTCTTTGCCTCTTTGCTAGTCTGCCTTTTATTTTTGACAGCAAAATGTTCCTTCTGGTCGTGTTAGCGTGAAAAGTGTTGAAAGGTGTGAAAATGAAAATTTACTACTTGGCCGCCAAGATTTATGCTGGCCAATATTTTCGCTTTCTTCTTCAAAAGGGCGACTGAGAGTGAGAGAAACTGTTAAGGAGACGAGATGTCCAAGGACTCCGATGTCAAAAAGTTCTGATCTAAATAAAATGAGAGTAGTGAAACGTTGCTTGTTTTATTTGGTATACAAAACTTGTATTATTTTATATAAAAGAGGTGTTCTTCTTCTTTATTTAAAATATTTATTCTTTTTCATAATTTTAATTCTTAGTTGTAACTACAAACTCTTAGTATAATAACTTTTGTTGAAAATCCCCTTTAATACAGGAGTTAAGGGATTTATTTTGAATACCTTTTCATTTTTCAGCGAATGTTCAACATTTTTAGATTCACACCTCATTGAAAACTTTCGTTTTAATATTTTCCTGCATATAATGATTTCCCTCGCTGCAGGGCTCTAATATCAATTTCCGCTTTCGCATGGAATCCATGCAAATGTCCTCCCTCTGATTGCCTTATCGATTGCCGACAACCGATCCAATACTTCACGCCTGTCTGTCATTCGCACTGTCGTCGATTGGCATCCCGACTTGACATATCCCCACAGCAGCAGCAACAAATCTTGTGTCAAGCATCCCGACACGCACTTGATAAATTATTATCTGCAGACTGGGTGATGAAAGGCAATGAAGTTGGTAGAAGGACGAAAGGGAAGAGATGACCCCACATAGTTCACATCGGTGCCCCCAGTGCCCCCAGTGCCCTCAGTGCCATGCACTTTGCACTTCGGCGCAATTTATATTTAAAAGACAGGGGGTACTTGCAGTGTGTTCCAAGGCATGGCCATACAGAGTAAAATATATTGACGATAAGGCCAAACTGTCGATTAATTCGGGGTCTGGCAAGCTCAGCTTCGTTTAGTTCTTTTAAAAAATAAAACAGAAACTGTCCCGAATCATTCTTTTTGAAGCTTTCTTAATCCAAACTACATATTTTATTAGAAGATCTCGTGTCGTTTTTCTCAGTGTATTTGGGTGAGAAAAAACTCGACGAGGGCTAAGGAAAATAAGAAGGAGCTGCGGCAGCAGTAGCCGGAAAAGTGTCCAGCAGCTCTCGAGAGCGACGCGTAAGTGGAGCGGTAAACAAGTGACCCGACCACGCCCACATGGAGGTCACAGGGAGGTGGGAGGAAGCGGATGTTGGCAGTCGAAGGAGGAGGAGGAGACTGAGCTATGTGGGCAAAATGTTGGCTGCAGTCGCTCAGCGGGCGGGCGCCATTTACCAAGTGTCAAAAGCAAAGCTAAAGCTATTGTCGACATGACTTTGGACGACAACAACAGCAAGAAGAGTGCTTTTCCCACCGAAAAAGTGAAATGCTTTGTTGGCAATTGCCGAGGAGTTGCCCGGCGAAGTTGGAGAACTTGCAGCTGTGCAGGTCCTGGATGTTCTGTAGGTCCTGAAAGTCCTGGAAGTCCGGACTCCGGAGAGGAGGAGAGCAGCATGTGTCAACTTCTTTTCAGAACGAAAAGGGATTTTCCTCTCCGGCGGGTCAAGACGAAGGCGGGACCAATGGAAAAGTGGGTGACAAGTAACCGGAAAATGTATTTTATTGTTTGCATCCGGACATTTCGTTTTTCCGACCTCTGCCTCCTCTGGCAGTTTCAGCTTCAGCTTCCCCCCACCGCCCACCGACCAGTGACTTGCTCTTCTGGCACTAAATTTGTCGAGTAATTGATGATATTGCACTTTTTCCTCCAAGTACGTTCGAGAAGGAGAGCTGCAGATGTTCTGAGAGTTGTGGGCGTTATTGTGGTAATGTCCTGGTTGAGAGAAGTGGCAGGGTAATGGATGAAGATATATGCTCGTGGACACAGAGAAGAGGAAATGCTGCTATTGACGCCATGAATCGAACTAGGGCTACAATGCATTGTAGACTAGTGTCATGTTTAGAGAATCTTCACCGATGTATCGTTGATGGTTAAAATCACCAAGACCAATTATTTTGGCCTGTTTAAACATATGTTTTTAATTTTTATAAAAGTATCTACTTTGATTTATTGAAATAAATATAACATTAAAAAGTTTTGGTACCAAAATTCAACTAAAACACAAAACCAGAGATTTAAATAAATAAATTCTCGCTGATCATTGTACATTATTAAATTCATTGAAATCACTATAAACTAGAAAAGTTGTGTGCTCTATTTGGGACTAAAATAAATATAAAATTCATACAAATTCTTACTGATCAATTCATTGCAGCACACATTGATCTTTAATGCTTCGGGTGGTGCTCTTGGTCTCCGTCCACCTCCCACTAACCACCCATCTGAGCCAGTTCGAGCCAGCCAGGCCAACGTGATAGATTGTCTAAATGTGCTGCGTATGAATGAATGAATGAATAAGCGAGTGCAGCCCCCTCGACCAACAGTTGATGGCCACCTCGAAAACGCCCGTTGGGTCCGCCTGATGCTTCTCCGAGATTGATGGCCAAAATGGCTGTTGAAACAACGGCAACGGCGATGCGAGGCGAACGGGCAGCAGCAGCGACTGCCGCTCAATGAAGAAAAATAATCACCAACATCATTTATTTTCCGTTTTGCCTGCCGACGTCGTACAGCACACATCAATCTTTTGCAACAGCAACAGCAACAGCAACAGCCAACTATCGACCATGACCAGGCCTGGACTTTTGGCTGAAAAAGCAGGGAATGGAATCGGGACTGGGATGGGGAAGTGGGGAAGTGAGGAACTGGGGAACTGGGACTTTTGGCCGTGATGTATACTTTTGTGAGCCTGACAGCTTCTGACGTGGATGTGGACGTGGACGAGAAGCCAGGCTTCAGCTTGATGTTTGATGTTTGATGCTAGCAGCTAGCAGCTAGCAGCTTGGAGGTGGAGCTTTGGAGGCTGACAGACGACTTTTGACGTTTGCCTGCAATTAACGATGCCATCCCACTGGCTCAGTGTTGAAAAATGACTGCAGCTGCAGGTGAAAATGGCGCGGCAGAGTGTTGGTTAATGACATGACAACAGTTGGAGTCAGCCAGTGGGGAGACCCAGACCCCCGCACTTAAATCATTAATTCCAATGACGAGGACCCCACACACGCAGCCCCATCACTCAGCCAGAGTGATGTCAAAGATAGACGAGCAGCCCGGAGCGGCGGAGGATGTCTCTCTGCGAGTGGAAGTGCCCAGAGCAGGGGGTAGTCATCATCAGGGCCGGATCTGGAGTCGGAGTTGGAGTTGGAGTCGACGACTACGGCGTCCTCGTTTGCTGAGACTAATTTGTGGCCCTCATCTGAGACGCCCACTAAGAAAACCACACACACTAACACACACTAACACAAACTAACAGAACGCAGACTGTAGATCTATGGGAAAAAGTGCGATTTAAATAATGCAAAGTTTTGTTATATTATTTCATTAACTATTATAGCCCGTATACATCCATTACACAATTATTAATAAAATGCAAAATTTTCTCAATTGAAAAATGTCAAAATTTGAATACATTATTTCCATGAGTTTCTTTAAAAATATATCTGATTGTTACCATCTTAAATTTTTTTAATATTATCCTGTTTATATTTAATGCCTAACCCTCTTATGCTTGTAATCAAGAATATATCTAGTAAACTCTAAACTCTTTATTTTTCTTTTTCAATTCACCTGCAGAGAGAAATAAAGCAAATTTCATAGCATACCTTTCAGCTAGATAAGATAACATGATAATACCTAAAACTCAAGATTCATAAAGGCTTTTCCTCAGTGCAGCCACAACTTTTTGATCCTTGCTGAGGCTCGTTATGTGACTGGTGACTTGGTTTTGTTGCAAGTCACTTGAAAAGTCATTAATCATTTTGGGGGATTTCGCTTTTTGCGCCATTTCGGGCGTAGCTGTGCGCCGAGCTGTCGGAGTCGCTGGATTTCGACTTCGCAGTGCTGCAGAAATCCATCACGCACCCAAATGGCAACCACCCAAACATCCCAACATTCAAACAGGCAACAGCCAACAGCCAACAGCTAACAGCCAACATCAATGTCAACGTCAAGCGGAGCAGGACGCGGATGTGTGCGCGGATGTGAGCGCGGACAAGGCGACGGCAGCGACGTCTGACAGGCGGAAGAAAAGAGCCACCCATCAAGTGAGCTGGGCCAGAAAGGAGGAGTCGCCGAATGAAAGTGCTTTGTGATTAGGAGTCAAAGCATATGCTTTTTAATTTGCATGTCAGCTCGCGGTGCCAGTTTGCCGTTGGCCAGATGATGTTCTGCACGCTCGGCTTAGATTAGAATGCCTGTCTATGGCACCGTCAGATAGTCAGCAGGTTACTATTCGCAATTTGTGGATTGTTATGCGGGCTATGTGGGAGATACAGGGTACAGGCTTCCAAATAATCATGGCTTAAAAGGGGTTTAACCGCTCAATAAATTGGTGCTTAACCAAGTCGTATGATTCAAGTTTGGTTCGGAAAATGAATACTTTATTCGCTTTGAAATCATTATGATACAGTAGTTGTGTATCGTAGTTCATTTAGTTTCTTCTGCCCATATTATATCTTGGAGGTGGAGCTTGAGCAGATCTTTGAGCGGATCGTTGAGCTGATAAGTCTGTGATTACGTAGCCACCGCTTTGGGCGACTTCATCGGTTGGTGAGGGTGGACATTGTGGAAGAACATGCCCGAAAACGGGAATGGCAGTCATCACGACCACGGCCAGCAGGGCAACAAGTAGAGCCTGTAAGAATTATACATATATGATAAACTCCTTCTGTATTGTTTTGATTTTGTTTCTTGACTCACCAATAACTTCATCTCGACAGATATTCTGAGTATGAGCTCTTGTCCAGACTGCAACGGTATTTATAGCCCAGAGCAGCTCATTATCGCATTCTATATATGGCTGCGATAATCGACTTCGAGGTCATCTTATTTCTCGGTAAGACGAATATTACATCAATGTTTTCAAAGAATCGGAATTATCGGAAAAATATTCTTTCCAGGAATTTTTGATGCGAGGTTACACTTTGTTCTTATAGTATTAATATTCCTATACATGTTATTAAGTATTATAATTTACGAATTTCACCCACAGTAATACAAACATTGATCTTATAAAAACAGCTTCTGTCCACTTGTTGGAATTGTTTACTGTAACGAGTAGAAAATAAAAGTAATTGGAAATATTTATACATGATTTTCTTGATGACTAACAATATTGGACAACTATGGCAAAAGTTTCAAGTCTATCTATGTTAACAACATTTGATCAAAACTAGTAAGAAGAACTAATTTAAGCCGGTATCGTTTTACTTGTTAAAAATTCAAAAGTGGTAGATTTTTTTACATTTTACATTACATTATCATTTGAAATATTTAACGGCGCCATCTAGCGATCATTGATTACAGATCATTTTTTGTGTAGCAGACTGTTAACCAATTTCTCAGGCACAGAAATTGTCTACATTTTGAAAATTTGTCATTCTGTCATTCTTACTTATTCGGACAATTTTCCCATTTTTGGTGAAATTTCTCATTGTCCCATTTCTCCCTCAACCATAAAATGTGTACATTATTGTCACGCCATCTAGCGTTCAACCCCTTTTCCCCTTTGAATACATGTTTTTTTACACCAGCTGGCATGTATACAAGCTCTTAACCATGATTTTACGAGTTTTGACTATTAAAAAAAATAGACTAAAAGTACAACAGACTTAGAGAGTGGCAACTAAGAAATCAAAAGTGGTAGAATAATTTACATTTAACATTACGTTACATTTTCATTTGTAATAATTTATGGCTCCATCTAGCGGTCATTCATTACAGACCATTTTATGAGGTGGTGTGTGTCCTAACTATGTTTTGACGAAACAACATTAACAGCTTTGAAACTTAACGAAACCTTAACTTACTGTTAATTCGTTAACAGAAATTATAATCGTGTGTAACTTAACAAAACCCTAACAGAACTGTATTAACTCGTTAACAGAAAATTATTAAGGTCTAAATTTCTATTTAAAATGTTAAAATATTGCTTTAAATAAAAAAATTAAAAGCACAACCAGCATTAAACGTAATTGGGCCCCTGTTACTGTAATATAGTATTACCGATTTAAAAATTAAAAGAAAATGCGTAAGTACTTTGGTTCAAACCAAAATTGCAATTCAACCAGTTTTTCAATATTACTAAATATTTATATTGCAAAAAATAGGGGGTATAACAATAACAGGTGTTGGAAAATAATTCTCCTATTGTTAATAATATTTATCGCTATGTGTATAGCACAGTCACGATAATCCCCCATGTTTTAATATTATATAGTGGTAAAAGAACATTATAAGCTATATATTTTCTAAATGCCACAAAGGATTAACCAGGAAATGCTAAGTGACTCAATAGCACTTGCTACCTGTCACCTGCCACTCGGCCATTGAAGTCCACTAAAAGCTGGCCAGTTAATAACGCACACTCGTCTCCCACCCAAAGGCAGTCACTTAATGCAGATTCGCTGGAGGCGCGGTGGCTAATTAAAACAGCAGTTAAATTAGCGACGTAAAGCTGGGCGAGCATTTGACAAATTGTCAGCCGGACCGCCATACAAGGCCAAACCGAAGCGAATCGAAACCCGCCGCATCGATCAGCGGCGACAGAAACACTTTGCCTGTCGTCTGTCGTCTGTCGGCTGGTTTTGGCCATCTGGCGCAGACTCGGAGTCGAGTTGGCCAATTCCTGGGCCGTAAGATGCCGTTAAATGGACACGCAGCGCGAGCCACATCCACATCCACATCTATAGAAAAAGCTAATGCCAGATTGAGAGCCCCAGACTTGGCGCAGTTCTCGCTCTGCGTAGCCAGAGATGCTTCCTGTTTGATAAATTTGAAAATCAATTGAAAATGGCCGAAAGGCCGACGCATCTTGGTGGGAGACAGGCAAACACACACGGCCCGAGAGAGATTCGCGGAAAAGCAGCTGGAAGCTGTTCCGAGTTGAATCCCCAGTCGGAGATGCTGCCCCTGGGAACCGCAAACGCCAGTCACCGATATTATATGCTAAACTAGTTATAAACACTCGGTCACATACAAGTTTTGAAATAACAAAAAATTGTTTAAGAAAATCAAAATTAGAATAAAATTACATTTTATTATGATTTTATGAAACAAATTCGTATTCACACAAATATTGCTTGGAATCAAAGGTTCTAAAACAAGTTTTCTTTATAATCTAATGTTTAGTTATTACCATTATCTCTTCCCAAAAAATATCGGCTATTTTAACATTTATTGGTAAGAATCCAAAGCTTACTATGTAAAACAGAAATTTGATTGATCTTTTTATTTTGTATGTTGTAAAGATCCGTGATCACGCTATTTTCTATTATTTTTCAGAGAAAAATATTTTACGTCTTTAGTGTGCTAATTATACTTTAAAAGCTTTAATACAAGGTTTTTCTAGAGACAATCTTTATGTCCTTGAGTGAATGTACTTATTGCAATGCCGAAAGTTTATTTAATAGGAGCTCTTAATTATCAGCCACTTACTTTGTAATCACCTGTCACTGCCGCATCTCTGGCACTGGCCATAACCCAGAATATTTTAGTATTTTATTGATATTTTCTGGCCATCTATTTACCGCGGCTGGATCATCTGCCCGCTGTCCGAGCCCCTCGTCGATCGATGCAAATAAATCACTATGGAAAATGCAGTCGATGAAAAAAAGCGACGCGTAAGTGCCGCCAAATAAATTTCGCAATTTATTTATTGCAGAGTCCGCGCGGCTGCCGTTCGATTTGGATGAGGATGGAGATTGGGGAAATGGGGAGATGAGGAGTTTGGGAGATGGGGATTCCCCTCCCACTTTGAAGTCCGTTCGCTGTGGTCAGGTTTTTGGCTATCGGCGAAACAGGCGCGTCGCGGAAGAGTAGTATTTTATTTCATTGCCAGCAAATTGGCAATAAGTGAAATTTGTTGGCCCCTCTCGGCAGGTGTGTGTTTGTGTTTTATGTTCTTTGCACTGTGTACTGTGTACTGTGCCTATGGCGATTGAAGGAAAAGGAAATTTGAATCGCACGCTGATTCCCTTGCTGGGGAAATTGGGTTAGCAATGCGCCAGCACATATCCCAAATGTGGGGGGCGTGGCCGGGTCTTTTAGCAGGTCCTTAAGAGCCACTTAATATATCAACTGGCTTGCTGACTGGCTGGCTTAATTTGCCGATTGCAGGCACCTGCGAATACGAATGCGAATGCGAACACCCGTAACCGATCGACTCTGACCCATATCCCCATTGTTGTTAACATTCACTTTTGTGTCCGTAATTTATTGTTATGCCTGCGCCTTCTTCAACGGCATCATTTTTGCATAAATAAATCAGCCGACTCGCCACGGCGGGCAAAGTGCAAATGAATTAGCATTTGTATTCACCCGATTCCCATACGCATCATTAGCCAAAGAGGCGGCATCAAGTGCAATTTAACCGTTAACAAAAGCCCATTGTGGGCTAACAACCCATTGTGTGTGAGTGTGTGGAAAAAGCCTTTTACCTGCGGGGAGAAAAGAATCCGCTCCGCGCAGACGCAAATTGATTGAACGCCGCGAAGGAGTTGGAGTTGGAGTTGAAGTCAAAGTCGAAGTAGGAGTAGAAGTAGAAGTCGTCGCAGCGCAGAACCTGGCTAATGACCGCAAATTAACACTGGCCAAGGAGCCGCAAGACGAGTGTGTCATTAACAGAAGTGTTTGCCATCGGAGGAGGATTGAGGATGGAGGATGGAGGATGGAGTATGGAGTATGGAGTATGGAGGCTGGTTGCTGGAGAAATGGAGATTCGGAGATTCGGAGGAGGTGGTCGAGTGGCAGCCACTCACTTTGGCGCGGGCTTTTAGCATATCTTCTAATAGATCGCCAACTTGGCATACTTAACTCACGTTCCGAGTTAGTGTTTGCCTTAACTCTTTCTGGCCAGTTGACCGTGCTAAGTTGGGCCATAAATCGGCAGTTAACGCTAGCAGATCTGCGGCTACCGTCCTCGCCGCGGGCATTCATAACTTAAAGATTCTTCAACGAGGAGAAAGAACTGCTACATATGATGCAAAAGATAATCTAGGTCTTAAAGTATAACGGGTTTTATATTTTTAACAAAACAATCAATGAATTCTTAAGCCACTTGGCACAAAAATCAGTTTCCCAACTTACTTTATTCTTTATAGTTCCCATTTACTATGATATTATTTCTCCAATCGTAATTTAATGAAATTCCCCCAATAACAAAGATACATTGTATCATATCCTCCAGCTAATACACTTTCCATCCAGCTCGAAATCATCGATACACTTTCATGTGGGAAGTATCACCGAACTAACCCATATCTCGTCCAATTATCAATCGCTATATAAAGCTAACCGTTCCACCCCGTTCTTCAATTTGCAATTTGAGGCGAAAACCCAGGGAAAACACAACATTTCGTTTGCAAATTGCTTGTGTGTAGGTTTTGAACAACTTTTTCTGTTAGCATCTTTCTATTCCTATAATTACCACAGAAATCGCATAACGAGCTGCTGCAACAACGATCAAAAACAAAACGAAGAAAAAAAACAAAGTTCCAAATGGGGGGCGGATGGGGAGTAACTGGGGATATTGGGAAAACTGGGTCAGCTCTGTGGCATTATTGGTTTAGTGGATCAAACCGACAACGACTACGCAAAAGGCAATTTCAGTTGCAGAGGAAAACGAAATAAAACAAAAAGCATGAGCATGAGGACCTCCACCGGCCACATTTATTAGATCAATGTCTCGGCAACAGCTACCCACAAGACTGAGACTGAGACTGAGACTGGGACTCAGGCTGAGACCCAGGCTGCTGAATAAATTGCAGAGGCTGCGGCCTACTCGA